ATTTCCCCGCTGCGTAGCCCCGCAAACTACCCATTAATACTTATTTACTGCACATCCTCGGAAAGTCTACCTCGCTGGCTGCGCAATGGTAAATCATGATAATTACTCGACATGAATAATTGCTCGTTTTATGAGCCTATTTCCAAATTAAACCTCATAATTCCTGTGGTAATCCAGTGAATTACGGTCTTGACACAAAATCTGGAAGAATGATACTTTGCAAAAAAATCTATATTTGTTTCTTTGGTTTTCACGCACATGTCATAGGGGGGCGAGAGAGCGACGGAGAGAAAAAATTGTGTGTGTCAGCTCCGACGCACGACTGGAGTTTACTCCTTAAGTTCGATAGTCTAAATAGACGCAAAAAGAGTTTATTTAACTTAAAAAAGATTGATACTGTATGAAAGGGTAAATTAACATATTAATGAAAATAATATACATATATAAATATATATTTATTCATTTCATATACATTTATTTCTTATAACTAATCGACGAAATATTTTGCATTAAACTTTTTACAATAGTCAATTTCAGATGTGCATAAATATATCATTAGGAATGTTGATAAATTATGTAATTATTATTATCAGACTATTATCATTTTTTTAAATATTAATTAAATCAACATTGTCTGCATTATTTATTACGGTGACAAGTGGTTTATGGTAACTAAAATAAGACAAATGGACGTTCGTAGATACGTAGTTCACGAATCTTGAAAATACCGCATCAATGGTTGTACCATACCTCGTTGTCCCTATTGCTCTATCAGAAACAATATCTAAATTCAGTTCAGATTTAAAAAAAAATATTAATGTCAATCCGTCATCGTTGTTTGTCAAAGTTGCGCGACATAGGATGCGCACCAAAAAAGTAACGAGGTCATTCATCGATAGATTTTACTCCTCACATTTTTCTCATACGGGGCCCCTTATATATGCAAATCGATTCTTAAGGAGTAAACTCCAATAACGCTCTCCCTCTCACTCTCGCGAGAGCCGCGAGTCTGCCCTGGGGGGGACAGGCCTCTGCACAAGCTCTCTGGATGTCGATGCCCCTAATGCTCCGGGGGTCCGTCACGGACAATTACCTTGTGGGTGCGTGGCCAGTTGGAAATCGGACCATTGGGGGGACCTCAGTCCCCAGAATGCGTGCCGGGTGAACGGTGCAGGAGCATTGTCTGGTTTTAATGGCCCTGTTCAGGGCGATAGGTAGGAGCCTGCTCATTTTAACCGGCCCAAGGGCTAGCTGAAATGAGCAGCGAGAAGTCCCACAATTTTTTTTATGTTATAGGGGGCATACGAGCAGACGGCTCACCTGATGGTAAGTGATCACCGTCGCCCATGGACACTTGCAACACCAGGAGTATCACAAATGCGATGCCGGCCTTTAAGGTAGGAGTACGCTCTTTTTTTGAAGGTTTTTGGGTCGTATTGGTCCGGAAACCCTGCTGGCGACAATATATTTCACAGTTTTGTCGTACGTGCAATACCATACCGTACATGCACATACCTTCTCCTTGCTCCCCCGGTGGTTGAAGGATGCGTAAGGCATTTCCCAGACACAAAAAAACAGGTTTTCACGCATATCACCCATTAAGTAAAACAGTTTTTTACGGGTTATATGCACTGAATAATGTTTTTTATTTACGTTGTCGAGCTACCTTCAAAGACATACATATATTAAATCATATACACTATTGTTGATAATCGCCCCGTTTATTTAAATACTTTTATCACTTCAATACTAATTTCTGTTCACAAACGGGCAGAGTCACTACTTATTACAAAGTTCCTATGCTGGCTCGGATAGAACTTACTGGTCCGTCTCGCGTTTGCCTTTTAAAGGTAGTAAAAGGCCACTTCTCCAGCTCAGACCATAGAGCATGGGGTTGCCTGTACAATTATTTGAAATTACCAGTATTAATTTAAATCACCAATATTACTTTTTGAAGTTATACTTCTTTAGGCGCGTTATGAAAAAATGATGAGAGTGAAATTTTAAGATGGGCGCGCATCACTGTAACACAAACAGCATGAAGTTGGTCGCTGGCGCGCATCACTGAACTTTTATGTTTACTACTTTTGTGTTTACCGCACATTAAGAAAATCTATCAACAAAATAGAAATAGAATCTCTATTTAGTGGGTGCTAACGACTGCATTGTGAAGGCCTATCAAAAGTATTTATTAATCTGGAACAACGGAACCAAAGCGCGATTCAGGAGACTACAGCGCCATCTCTTGACCATTGGTGTAGTAGAACCAAAAACCACATCTTTATCTTTTGTAATAAAGTAACAGTTATAGGTAATACAAATAAATAAATTCAGTGCACGCAACCCGTAAAAAACTGTTTTATCTTTGCAAAAAATGTTAGGCGAAAGACGTTCGTTGTTCAATGATTAATACTTCTGCTTATTTATCGAGGCGCACCCCTTGTTGACTATAGTTATGTCTTCGCTAATCAGGAATGTCTGTTATGTGAACTTTGTTTACTGCAGCTTGGGAATGTTAGTAGTAATATTTTATGGTTAGCATCATGTGATGTAACAAAAAGCAAATAGAACACGCTTTAGTTAATAAGTGAAGACATAAAACTGGGAGAAAAATATGAAATATATTTTTTATAAAGAATACTAGCAAACCTGTGAACCAAATGTTCACCAAAAAAAAAAGTATTTAATTAATTGAGAACCTCGGAGATTTTGTGTGGTTTCGTTTGAAATAGAAATCACGTGATTTCTCGAAAACCGGAAGTGCTACGTTACTCACATCCGGTTTGTAGTCTTATCAGACTATTCTTAACTTATAACTTAAACATTCTCTATATCTATCTCTTACGGTTTGGCCGCTGAAACAGCACCACGGACGGACGGACGGACGGACGGACTTGTCTAATAGATAAGAGATAATGAAAAAAGATTGTGTGTACGGACCACACATATGAAGTGACACTTCTTTTCTTTAAAAAAATTGTGTGTGTCAGCTCCGACGCACGACTGGAGTTTACTCCTTAAGTTCGTTAGTCTAACCAGACGCAAAAAGATTGATACTGTATGAAAGGGTAAATTAACAAATTAATGAAAATAATATATATATATATAAATATATATTTATTCATTTCATATACATTTTTTATAACTAATCGACGAAATATTTTACATTAAACTTTTTACAATAGTCAATTTCAGATGTGCATAAATATATCATTAGGAATGTTGATAAATTATGTAATTATTATTATCAGACTATTATCATTTTTTTAAATATTAATTAAATCAACATTGTCTGCATTATTAATTACAGTGACAAGTGGTTTATGGTAACTAAAATAAGACACATGGACGTTCGTAGATACGTGGTTCACGAATCTTGAAAATACCGCATCAATGGTTGTACCATACCTCGTTGTCCCCATTGCTCTATCAGAAACAATCTCTAAATTCAGTTCGAATATTAAAAATTTTATTAATGTCAATCCGTCATCGTTGTTTGTCAAAGTTACGCAACATAGGATGCGCACCAAAAACGTAACGAGGTCATTCATCGATAGATTTTACTCCTCACATTTTTCTCATACCTTATATATGCAAATTGATTCTTAAGGAGTAAACTCCAATAACCTTACATTAGGCGGTGCATAAGGCATAGAAGCGCACGCATCACTCCATATATATATTTATATATATTTTGTTGCGTGTGACGCGCGTGACGCTCGTAGCTTTTCAGCCTTCGCCGAGTTACCTTCCAACTTACATGCTCGTCGGGAAGAGCAGCGCACGCATCCCACACACAGAGAGCTACATATATATGTTCATACGAGGGTCGTGACGCATTTCCGTTTCATATTTTCCATTTTTTTAAATAAAAACCGGTTAAAGCGGTGTTCTAAAACCGCCCGGTTTTTGCATGCCCTAATCACATCTCAAGTTCGACGCTGAACAAACTATTTATGGTCTAAAAGTAGGCACTTGGGTAGTTAAATATTCTATACTTCTGATAAAGGTAATATCAAAAATTATAATGACAACTGCATTATTATTCTAAATATCAAAAAGTACTTTACATAAAAAAAATGGGTGCGTGTACTTATACTATACTTACTACTACTACTACTTATATATATGTAGGCGCGTGAGAAATTATCCTTCTTTGGCATCGTTTAAAATTAGTTTTTAATTGCATGCAAATAATTAATTACAATAAATTAATAAAAAGTCTGGAAAAGGAATCAGTCAATAAAGTTCAGTTTTAATTTGAAAAAATAAATACATAATCAAAATATTCAATTAAAATCGCTACTGAATATAATTTATTAGAACATATGTGATTTGCACTTGTATGAAACTCAAACACGTATTCCGAATATAAAAACTAGAAACATGTGGATAAATATTATAAATATGAATACCTACCTATAACTGTTACTTTATTACAAAAAATGAAGATGTGGTTTTTGGTTCTACTACACCAATGGTCAAGAGATGGCGCTGTAGCCTCCTGAATCGCGCTTTGGTTCCGTTGTTCCAGATTAATAAATACTTTTGATAGGCCTTCACAATGCAGTCGTTAGCACCCACTAAATAGAGTTTCTATTTCTATTTTGTTGGTAGACTTTCTTAATGTGCGGTAAACACAAAAGTAAAAAAAACGCGCATTTTAAAATTTCACTCTCATCATTTTTTCATAACGCGCCTAAAGAAGTATAACCTAACTTCAAAAACTAAGATTATTTTAAAGTTTAAGTTAAAAACGGTTACTTTTATAGTAAGTATTTCGATTAATCTGCATAAAATATATATAATATTGTTAGGTACCATTCAAAAACAATAATATCCGAAATCGAAAAATAGTTACCGCGCAGTGGAATAGCCCACATAGCAACTACATACGATTTTAATGTTTTCCGTGCACCTACACACGACAGATTGTGAATTTTTAAAATCTTCACACACTTTAATAAATTTTAAAAAAGGTCCGAGCCGCATTCGGCCAGCTACATTAGCGTTTCAAAGAGGTTTTATTCAAATATTCTGTGTGTTTAAAAATATAAGGTTGAATAAAATGCGAATAGGCAGTTAAAGTGAACATTGGGATCCAGAATGGCTGTGTTTCTCGCATTCTCTTTGGCTTGCATGCTGGCAACTGCAAAAGGGAACGCACAAGAGGTGATTGTAATTGTTTTGTTCAAGCATTCACTGTACATTTTCAAATGAGAAAACTGAATAGCAGCCGGTTATTTTGTAGAAATATCATAGTAGTTTTTTCTCCGTTTTGCATCGAAATGTTTTAACCGATGCTTCTCTATTGCGCTAGTTGTGTGTGTGTTGTGTTGTGTTGAAACAGTATTGCTTTGTTAATTTTTCTTTCGTTGTTACTTTAAAAATTTCCTTTGTAATACGAGGGGCTCGATGGCGCAAGTGGTTAGCGCGTTCGGCTGCTATCGTTGAACTTAAGCAACTTTCGCAGTGGTCGGTCATTGGATGGGTGACCAAAAATTACTATCTACAGCTCCTCCGTGCTTCGGGAGGCACGTTAAGCCGTTGGTCCCGGCTGCATCTGCAGTCGTTAGCACCCACCAATCCGCACTGGGCCCGCGTGGTGGGTCATGGCTCAGATTGGGCCATGACCCACTTCCCTGCTGGGGCACAGGCCTTCCCTATTCCATCCATAGGGAAATCCTGTGCCCCAGCAGTGGGGACATTAATAGGCTGATGATGATGATGATGATGATGACGTACGGCTGTCAGCTCGGTTCGAAATTCTAGAACAATTGAGATTCCATTACCAGTAGAAATCTCCAGTATCAAATCGTATAAAGACTAAAATACCAACCAAATGATTAATCTTAATTCTCAGTTCATGCATGAACGCTACCAATATTTATAAAGCCGTATATATATTAAACTCCCAGAAGTACAGTTTAAATAAAACTAGTTTTAACGGGTTAATGCACGAAAGTTTATTTATTTATTGACGTTTCGCAGCCTTTTCAGGTCTGCTACCTTCTCGAAGAAGGTACTCTTTTCTTCTTCTTCTTTTTAATTAATTTTGTCGAACTACCTTCTCAAAAAAGGTACTCTTCTCTTCTTCTTTGAGAAGGTAGCTCGACAAAATTAAATAAAAAATCATTTTCTGACGATGCGTGGTGTGCGTGAAAACCTAAGAAACAAATATAGTACAGTTTAAGTTATCAGAATTCAATATTCGCAAGCCCATCCAGTGGCGTTTTTACCATATAGTCTAGAAGGCCATGGCCCGAGGCGGCAGGCTGCTAGGGTCAGCTGCATGAGCTCCAAGATGTGGCAGAAGCCATATAAAGTAACTGATTCATAAAGTCAAAAGTCAAATGTCAAAAGTCAAAATGACAAAAGTCAAAATTTCAAAAGTCAAAATGTCAAAAGTCAAGATGTCAAAAGTCAATATGTCAAAATGTCAAATTGTCAAAAGTCAAAATGTCAAATGTCAAAATTACAAAAAATAAACTTTATTCAAATTGGATGCCCAATACAACTCTTTTGAATCGTCCATATATTTTCGTTCCACACGTTAAGCCCGTTAAGGCCTTTTCTTTAGCTGTGGCGAAAAAACCTTCACAGCGTTAAATAAATAACAAAATATTATATTGTTACGGTGTCAACACAAAATCATATTTTGATTTACCAATTCTGAGAGGGTGCAATTCGTAAGTGGCCCTTTGCTCCAGATTTGTAAATATGCTTCACAGTTAATAAACAATAATTATTGCGATAGGATAATAATTATTGTTTATTAACTGTGAACAAAATGCTTCTTGTACAAAACTCTTGTTAAGTGCAAGTTCACAACGAAAAACTTATATTAAATTAAAACTGATTTTTTTATCATTCCGAATACAGAAATATTTTCAAGAAAACAGGAAACTGGCGAAGGCCATCGTGGAGGCTTTACAGGACCAGAAATTTGATGAAGAACTGCTCTTCGACCTGAAGAAGGAAAACCAGGTTTACCTGAACCGCACCATGTCGCTCGTCATCAAATATATAGTGAAAAGGTTTGCTATGATAATAGTTATATTGGAATTCTTTACCCGTAATAATGGAAATTCAAAACTCTCCAGGAATCCTTTTGAAGAGCCTGTAAAACATAAAAACCGGTTTCATAAAGTTATAATTTGCTTTTTTAAAGCATGTAACTGCTTGATGTTTAAATCTAAAGAAAATATAACTAGAAAAAATTCCACGCGGGTGGGTTCCCCATAATGCGAAGAGATGGCGCTGCCTTGCAGCTTAAGAATGGCTAGAGTCCCTCTAGCCATTCGACGCGGTCCGTGAGGGCCGCAGTAGCATAATTGGTCAGTGCATTCGCCCGGATTGCGAAGGGTGCGGGTTCGAGTCCCGTCTGCTGCCTGGTCCGCGTGGAATTTTTTCTAGTTATATTTTCTTTATAAAATCCGGTTTCTTAAAGTTTTTATTTATCACTTTTTACAATCCAGACTACATACTACATCAACTTGTTAAGTATAGGTGCATGGCCTGCAATCTTCATTTTATATTTCATTCAATAACCAAGCAAACACGAGAAAGGTTATCAATTTAAAATAAATAGATTTTCATCGATTTTGAAATCTGTTGAAAATCCTACTCATGGCCAACAAGACGTGCTGAAGTTCATTTACCAAGAATAATAAATAAATAAATAATAAATATTTCCAACACTCACACCAATTAGCCTAGCCCCAAAGTAAGCACTGTAAAGCTTGTGTTATGGGATGCTAGGGTAACGGATAGAATACATATACTGTACATATATAAGAACTAGCGGCCCGCCCTTGTTTCGCTTCGGTGTAGAGCTGAACTGTAGCCTACAGTTTTTGTTCTCAGGCTTGTATTATACACAATGACATTCGTCTATGATTCTTCTTATGCAAAGTCTCAGCCCGATCGGTTTAAAATTGACAAAGATTCATACAAACTTTCATTCCCTATTTTATCCCCTTGGGGGTAGAATTGATCAAAATCCTTTCTTAGCAGATGCCTACGTCATAACATCTACCTGCATGCGAAATTTCAGCCCGATCCGTCCAGTGGTTAGGACTGTGCGTTGATAAATCACTACATCAGTCAGTCACCTTTGAGTTTTATATATATATAGATACTAGCTGTGCCCCACGGTATTACCCGCGGTTTATTAGAGATATTTTCCCGCAGCTAAACGTAGCCTATGTGTTAATTCAAGGTGTAAGCTAACTCCATACCAAATTTTATTAAAATCGCTCCAGCCGTTAAGACGTGAAGAAGTAACAAACATACACACTCACAAACTTTCGCCTTTATAATATTAGTGTGATATATTAAGAAATACATATTAAACATCCATACTAGACTAGAGTACAAATGCTCGTATTCATCACACAAACATCTGCCCCCATAGGGATTTGAACCCGGAACCTCTCGAGTCGGCGACACCATAAAACACGGCGTACAAACCACCGTTCCTGTAAAATACTTCGAATCGAAATCGAATCGAATTTTATCAATATTATGCTACAGTGGTGTTCTTACGAAATGCGAATGTAATCGAAATTCCGAATGTCGCTCCGAAATATATCAAGCTAACCCAGAAACATATTAACGTGTCGTGTCGTGTCGTGGCGCGCCAGAAGCACATCGGTTTCATACATTTACTATGGTTAGAGACATATTTACGTATCGTGTCGTGTCGACGCTTTAACCTCTCTATCTCTCTCTAACCCATAATAAATGTATGAAACCGATGCTCCACGTCACGCCACGACACGTTAATATGTTTCTGGCTGGTTGGATGGTTACAGGGAAGTGGACAACTACCGGTCGCGGCGCTCAGACGCCATCAGCCGACGCATATACTCCTCCCTCGTCATGAAACTCATCGACATCGCTAAGGTCAGATTAATCACTAAACACCATACGAAAATGTACGCGTGACTTATTAATATTGAGCTAGGCAACCCAGCTGTTCATGTCAAAAAAGGTAAATTTAAAAGATCAAAAACCCGACTGCTTATAATTATTACTTCAAATTAAATCTGAGAAACAATCCCCAGCAGTCAAATAATTCTGTTAAGTAAAGACCAAAGCAAAGTTTAACAGTCGGGACCCATTACATATTTAAGAATGGATACTATTTTTACCCGACTGCGCAATGCAAGAGCGCGAAGCGCGACGCGCACACAGGGTATAGTGTTTAACAGTCTATATATGTATGTTTGTTCCTTTGTGGCACACTAGAGACCAAACGCCTGGACCGATTTTTTTTCAATACTGGAAATATTTCTTCAACTTATTATTTTTTCTTTCTCACTATATGGTGTCTAATTAACCCTATATTGAATTTCGATTACTATCATATCCTTAGTAGCACTCCCATGATAAAGACGAATTAATTGACGTATGAATCATCAAAATCGGTGCAAGTGTTTAGTCTCTAGTGTGTCACAAAGGAACATAACATAACATACTTAAATATACTGTTAAACATTATACCCCCTGTCTTCGCGTCGCGTTTCGCGCTCTTGCATTGCGCAGTCAGGTAAAAAAGATGTAGCCGCACAGCAGTGGCGGCGGACAAGCAGTGTTACCAACCCTTACCAAAATTTTACCCTAAGTTTTTTTTAAATTCCCCTAAAATCCCCTAAATATAGAAAATTATATGTACCTACTTATCTTATTACCTAAATTCTTTCGTTGCTCATAAATTAAAACGTTACATATTCTGTTACAGTAAATTATTTTATTGAATAAATACATTTTCCGAATGGAAAATCAAACGAAAATGAGCTGACCGGCGGTTAAATCTTATTTAGCTGTTTTGATTGGTGGAAGGCAAAGAACTTAAGTCCATACAGCCTTAGGAAACAACCTGCCACACAGTGAGTTCAGTCGTTTCATATCGTGCTGCGTTCCATTCTACGCACAAAACTGAAAGAAAACACACACGTTTTCGATTTAATTGAAAGTTTTGTTAAAAGCCCCTAAAAGAACCCCCAAAAAATTCCAGCCCCTAAAAAAGTCACTTTTAACACTTCTAGCCCCTAAATCTGGGGGCAAAACCCCTAAGTTGGGAACCCTGCGGACAAGCTCGTCAGAGGCCCGGGGCGGCCAAGCTATATGAGGCGCCCCAGCTTTAAAAAAATGTAGTTTCTTAGTTTGTTTCGTTAAAAACTGGCAAGTGAAATTTAAATTCCAATTAAATTATTTCGGTTAAATAAACATACCAACATACCTACAATATGTTACTTAATGACTAGAAAGAAACTACGAATTATGATTTCTAGGCTAAATTATACGAAGAATTACTCACTTTTTGAAAATACTTAAAAATGCACTAACTCAACTCTAAACTCATTTACTTTTATGCCGCAACAAATATCAAAAACAGTATCACACTTTTTAATGAGGTTACTTTGAACGGATTTTAAATGAGGCCAATGTTTATTTTTCGACGTAAACATAGTGAATGTTAATAAATAGTAGGCGTACAAGAGTGAATTATTTGTACTTCATTCATTCAGAGATTCCTGAGGAAGTACCCACTATAGAGACGGGAATTCCCCCAGCGTATTGGACGCGTTCAGCGAAGTTAAAAGAATATTAAATTACTGCGTCTGAGTCTAGATGGCTGTAGTGTTTTGATATTGATGAAATTATGTAGGTACTAAGCACATTTTTAAAGTCTGGTTTAGGATTTGATCAGGGGACCGCGGTGGCATTTGGGGCCCCCCAAGATCGGAGGCCCAGGGCAGGCCGCCCCTCTCTGGGGCGTCGGCGCCCGTACGGGCGCCCTCAACGGGGGGGGATGTCCGAGTAGCCCTGGCCGCTTGGACCCCCCCACGAATGCTGTCACCCGCGCTTCCCCCCCTTCACGCAGGAGAAGGGGCGAGGCGACGTGGCCGACCGGGAGGGGGGAGAGGGCCGGGGAGAACTATTCTCCCCCTCCCGCTCCCCCCCCCCCCTGGACGGCGCGCCCCCCCTTGTAGTTCTGTCCTACAAAGGGGGGGCGGCGGAGGCGTGCGCCCGAGTAGCCCTCCGCAGCGGACGGGGGGCGGTACGGTGGGCACTAGGCCGCGTACTCAGCCCTCATGCGCGGGCCATGCTGCGCACGTCTGCGGGGTCCCCGTAATACCTCGGGAGACCCCTGCCGTGGAGCTCCGGCGAGGCCGGGAAGCTGCTGGGTGCGGAGACGCGGATATTATGCCGTAAAGCGCCCGTAAGAGTTGCGGGGTCCTCGGTGGTCAGCCACTGGGGGGTCCGTAAGACTTGCGGGAGCCAGGTGTGAGGTCCGTTCGGCGGTGTGCCTCTTAAAGGCGCCGTCGTCTGTAAAAAGATTTTTTACCTGCGTTATAAAAAAAAAAAGGGCGGGCCGCCCCTTCCGCCCCCCTGTTAGTCCGTCACTGCCGCACAGAGCACAGCACAGCACGTTTTCTTTTATTATGTTTAAAGGGTGGCATATGTGGGCATATGACCAACCTGATGGTAAGCGGCCACCAAAGCCAGTATAGATGCTTCATCATCAGCCTATTAATGTCCCCACTGCTGGGGCACAGGCCTTCCCTATGGATGGAGTAGGGAGATTGGGCCTTGACCACGAGGACCCAGTGCGGATTGGTGGGTGCTAACGACTGCAGATGCAGCCGGGACCAATGGCTTAACGTTAACAAAGCACGGAGGAGCTCGAGATAGTAATTTTTGGTCACCCATCCAATGACCGACCACTGCGAAAGTTGCTTAACTTCAACGATCGCAGCCGAACGCGCTAACCACCCACACCATCGAGCTCTTCATATTGATGCTCTATAGATGCTTGTGATACCAAAAATATCACCCACACTATTGCTTTCTCTAAACCAATTCCCTTTCCCGTGGTACCCTGGAACCTAACTCTTCTACAGAAACACAACACCATCACCAAAAGGTAATTTATTTTACTGTGTGTGTTTTTGGTGTCATCTTTCAATTGACGACACTGTATGAAACAAAACAGGGAGAAAAAAATAGCCCTTGCTGAGTTTCTTGCCGGTTCTTCTCGGTACAAGGTCTCCCGCCGTAGATTTACGAACCGATGGCGTAGCGTTTGACTTTCACAAGAGCTTGTGAAATAGACAAGAGCCTAGACTGAATAAATGAGTTTGAGTTTGTGGCCGTCTGTAAGGTGGAAGTTACTTTTCCGGACGGGCGCTCCAATTCAAATGGCAAATCCACTATGCCGTACCTCTCAGCGTATAGTTTGTTGCCTCTTTATAATCTAAAGAATGATAGTTTTTTTTTACGTCCAACACTACCTATTATATAGTCCATGTGTAAATAAGTCATTTTTATACTCTCTCATGTAATCCCACTTCTGACACCAAAAATGTAAAGGAAAGGGCCATTGTTTTAAGGCGCTTTGGAGACGACGGGGCGGGGCGGGCATTTTGTCCGCGGCGAAATTGACCGGCCCGCCCCGCCCCGTCGTCTGCAAAGCGCCTAAGTGTCCCTAAATTGAATTTCTGAGGTGTCGTTGGTTCAGCTGGCGCAACTTGCAGAGTGTGCGCGCAGACAGGGATCGGGAGTTTTGTAGAGGCGCCTGCACCCGCTATGGCGGGAGGCGCCGACCGCGGCGACTGTGGCGCCTGCGGTCTTAATGTCATTGAGAAACAATTACCTTTTACTTTACAATAGTTATTGATGAAAAAGCACAGCACAGCACAACTTTATATTGATTGGTCATCCTAACACTTATCGTTTTTCCCCACAGCCTACAAAACCTCCATAAGAGGTGATAGGAGAAAACTTAGGGAATCAATATCAAAAATCAACTTATCTTTATTCAACTCTTTTGAATCATCCAAAAACTTTTTTGCTACCACTCGTTATTGGACATCTTTTTTAGCTTCGGAGAAAAACGAGCGAAATACTTTACAACATTAAAAAGTTTAATTGACAACATTTACAAATCATCATGTTGTTACAACGTCAATACAATAATGAATTATTTCATATAGAAAACCTGTTGGTGGAACATAGTTGATAACGCTAACATTTCTTGCAATATTTTAGGATGGGTTTTATTATCCGTATTAACAAAATAATTATATTTATTTACCAAAACAAAAGATTTGTATTATGATTAAGTAAAAATTTTATGATGTAATTTTGATTTGATTTCTGTTTAGAATATTTTTTAGGGTTTCGTACCTCAAAAGGAAAAAACAGAACCCTTATAGGATCATTTTGTTGTCCGTCTGTCCGTCCGTCTGTCAAGACCGTTTTTCTCAGGAACGCGTGGAGATATCAAACTGAAATTCATATCTAATACTCATGTCTACTATCCCTTGGAGCTGTGAAAAAATCAAACTTCTAAGCCAAAGCAATCAAAAGATACAGCCGTTTATGCCGCAAATTTTCGAAACTCATACGGGAATCAAAACCTACAGGGTATTTCCCGTGAACTTAGAATCTTAAAACTTGGTGCAAAGTAACGTCTTATAGTACAGATAAAGGAAAAATAGCGAAAACCGTAAAATTTTCAGTTATATCATTTTTTTTTTATTTTTATTTTTTTTAATTTACTACCTCTTTTCTCAAGAACGCGTAGAGGTATTAAATTGAGTTTATACGGAACCTTCGGTGCACGAGTCTGACTCGCACTTGGCCGGTTTTTTCTCGTGCAACCTCGCTCACATACCTATTGAATTGTATACTGCCAAATGAAAAAGCATCATGCATTTTGATAACAATTACAATATCTATCGTGGTTAAACTTTTCCACAGAAACGCAACACCGGCAAGCAATTATTCTCCCAGACACTCGCGCTTCGATTCCAGCTTTAAATCCTTTATCATCATCATAGCTATTAACGGGATTGTTACCATGTACCTTGTTTTTTATGAGTCTCCGATATTTGAATAGTGAATAGTGAGAATGTGACCAACGGTAGGTGTATCGAGCGCAGTAAGAGACGACGTCAGAGGGTAGACCGATATGTCTGCCAATAACATCTATCCGCAATTACTTCAGTTATTCCGTGATCATGGCGCTTGCAACAGTGCCGAAATATCGGAGACTCATAAAAAACAGGGTACATGGTAACAATCCCGTTAATAGCTATAATGACCATGAAAGTTTAAAACAATATACCGGTAGCTTTCCAATTACAGCATTATAGTGCATTATGCGGCATAATGCTTAACGTTGAGTGTTCCAACTACAGCAACGCTTCGCACAATTTAGCACTCTCAAAAGTAATGCTTTCGTGTGATGCGTGCAATCGTACCAACTCAGAGACAGAAAATTAACAAGTGTTTTTTCTTTAAGTTGTCATTGATCGAAATGTTTTATTTATATTTTTTTATTGTTGAAAAATTATTAATACTTTCGTTTCATCATAGTTTTTTTTAAAATAATCAAAGTTAATTCAAACTGTGTCAAAAATTAAATATAAATATGGATGAAGGTACAAACACTGACTTTTTTTTCAACACTGAACTTAGCGCACTCTGCTGGTGCATTTGAAAACTAATTCACGTTCCAATTAAGCATCAACATAATTCGGCATTGTGCGCCACTGAGTCGCTTTATGCTCTGTAATTGGAAAACCACCACCGTTATCATTATTATTTTTTAACCCAGGATCTGCCCCGCAACACGTCTGCGAGCAGCCGCATCGACACCGCCCATAGGTACTACACGTCCGTCGAAAGCCGCGACATGCACGACCAGATGGCTGACGTGCAGGTGTTCCACGCATGCGCACGCCTCTATGACATCATGTTCACTGTACGTCATAACCATAGACTGAGCAACGCATTGTCACCGCCTACAGATACTACGCGATATGCACAACCAGACAACTGACGTACAGGTGTTCCATGCAATGCCACGCCTCTATGACATCATGTTCACTGTACGTCATAACCATAGACTGAGCGACGCATTGACACCGCCCACAGATATTACGCGACATGCTCAACTAGACAATTAACGTACAGGTGTTCTACACATGCGCACGCCTCTACCATATCATGTTCACTGTACGCCATACCTATAGACTGAGTGACGCATTGACACCGCCCACAGATACTACGCGACATGCACGACCAGACAACTGTCGTACAGGTGTTCCACACATGCGCACGCCTTTATGACATCATGTTCACTGTACGTCATACCCATAGACTGAGCGACGCATTGACACTGCCCACAGCTACTATGCAACACGCAAAAACCAGACAACTGACGTACAGGTGTTCCACACATGCGCACGCCTCTACCACATCATGTTCACTGTACCTATAGATATGGCATGAACTATGCGACGCATTGACACCGCTCACAGATACTATACGTCTGTTGAGAGCCGCTTTACACCCAAAGTTATCAAAATTAGTTGATGCAGGGCGCTTGTTAACGAAATGATTTCTACCCAGCTTGGGCACGGTTTTAAACCGTGTCTACAACCGGTCGTCAATGGAAAAGTATACGCAAAGCTCGACATAGATAGCGCTGCAAACGCATGACCCAAACCACAGCCAAATATTGCCGCTGTCAAATTTTAAACGTGTTTTTTGTTGTTAAAAATATTAAATAAGTGGTGAAAATGTATTCAACATGGTTTGTAATACAGCTAAAAACAGCATCGCTTTTGTCTGTTGTTTAATAAAAAGCTTAAAAATTAATATAAGCTAATAGGTATGTATTTGATCGAAGTTTTGGGTCAAGCGATTACAGCGCCCCTAGTGGCCAAATTTTGCAGAATTCTTGTCCATCCAGTATGACGCTATGGGGGTTTATTAATGACAGTGGCGCTAGCGGTGGTTTGACAACAAGCTTGGCCCGGGTGGAAATTGTGCCTAGACTTGACGGGAAACCTGTCGTTTAGAAGCGCCCACGTTACAATTAGAATCATATGAAGAGTATACATTCTTCATTAAAATATCTTATTAAAGAATTGTAGACATAAAATTTCCAACTAAACCAACGCCCTCCGACAGGCAGTAGTGGAATCGGGTATCTTCCACGGTCTTATATAATTCTGGCGGTATTACGTGACGGATAATGACTGCGCCGTTTTAAATTACACCCCAATACACTAATCTCCGGTCAAGGTCGAAGAATTATAGCGTCGGTAATCTACTAATAAAGAGCTCGATGGCGCAGTGGCTGACGCACTCGTTCAGCGATCGTCGAAGTTAAGCTACTTTCATAATTGCCGGTCATAGGATGGGTGGCCATAAAGCTTACTACCTCGAGCTCCTCCGTGCTTCGGAGGCATGTAACAAAAATTTAGTTTTTGAAGTTATACTTCTTTAGGCGCGTTATGAAAAAATGATGAGAGTGAAATTTTAAGATGCGCGCGCATCACTGTAACACAAAATTTTAACAGCATGAAGTTGGTTGCTAAAGCGACCAACTTCATGCTGTTACTTTTGTGTTTACCGCACATTAAGAAAATCTACCAACATAATAGAAATAAAATCTCTATTTAGTGGGTGCTAACGACTGCATTGTGAAGGCCTATCAAAAGTATTTATTAATCTGGAACAACGGAACCAAAGCGCGATTCAGGAGACTACAGCGCCATCTCTTGACCATTGGTGTAGTAGAACCAAAAACCACATCTTTATTTTTCAATGTTACTTTTATGTTATTATTGTAATAAAGTAACAGTTATAGGTATTCATATTTATAATTATTATCCACATGTTTCTAGTTTGTATATTCGGAATACGTGTTTGAGTTTCATACAAGTGCAAATCACATATGTTCTAATAAATTATATTCAGTAGCGGTTTTAATTGAATATTTTGATTATTTATTTATTTTTTCAAATTAAAACTGAACTTTATTGACTGTGTCCTTTTCCAGACTTTTTATTAATTTATTGTAATTAATTATTTGCATGCAATTAAAAACTAATTTTAAACGATGCCAAATAAGGATAACTTCTCACGCGCCTACATAAGTACACGCACGCATTTTTTTAAATTTGGTATTATATCATGTTAGGTTAAGAGCCCTTTTACAAGACTTTGATCGGCGCGTAGTAGCATAGTATATATTGCATTTTACGGGTGATGTTTGCAGTCTTATAAAATGATTATTTAATGAACTAATTATAAAAATATATCAATATTTCAGTAGTACAATGATGGTAGATTAGTTTTATGCAAGTTTTTGATAGTAATTCTATTTAATTCAATATCAAAATACGGGTAAACCTGCATTGCTTTTTAGGAAAACTCACGGAGGTTATATGTTTTCTTTTTTGATAATTAATGAGATGGAAAATCAAAATTCTAATACATTATGTTACAACAAAAACATACTTCATATGTCGTAGTAATTAATTTGATCTAATTTATTGAACATCATTGAGAGATTGAGGCGCTTGAAGTTGTGCAAATTATCGTTTTTTCCGTAAACTAGCTGCGGTAGAACAAACAGTACAAAAAAAAGAAAATAGTGTTTTCATTAATTTACAATAGGAGGAATAAATCAACTGTTTACTTCTTTTGGAAATAGTCAAAATCTTTTCTAAGGAGGTAAACGAGGCGCTCAAAAATTGCAATTTATTGCAGAAAATGTGAAAGGGTTCTTAAGGCCAATCAGCATTCGTTAGCACTCGCAAATCTACACGGGCCCATTTGGTTCATCATGACCCCTTAACCCTATTTCGTCCATAGGGAAAGCTTGTCCTGTATAGTCAAAAGCAAAAATAAAATGGTCACATTGGATGCACAATAAAACTCTTTTCAATCGTCCATATTATTTCCCTACCAGCAGTTTGACGACCTCCGTGGTCGAGTGCTTTGTACGCCGGGTTTCATGGTGTCGCCGACTCAAGAATTCCCGGATTCGAATTCCGGTGAGGGCAGAAGTTTGTGTGATGAATAAGAGCATTTGTACTCCAGTCATGAATGTTTAATATGTACTTCTATATAAATATTCTTATATTTATACAGTATATGTATATTGTATTCTATCCGCATCCCATAACACAAGCCTACAGTGCTTACTTTGGGGCTAGGCTAATTGGTGTGAGTGTTGGGAATATTTATTTAGTTAAGAGCATCTTTTGAGGAAAACTGGCGAACAAAAATTCACTGTTTTAAATTATCTAACAATATTTACAAATATTATATTGCTACGGTGTCAATACAAAATCTTACATCTTGTCATAATTATAGAAAAAGCCTGCCGAAACGTTTGGAACAACTGTTCCAAACCCTAGCATTTTTGTATGAAATATAATCATACACTTTATAACAGGCTTTATTAATACGAACTTTTTTAATAGTAGCTTTTAAGGACAATGCCAGAAGTTCTATAGAGGTTTAACCCACCCGATAAAATTGGTGTACACGAATGCGATAAATGACATTTGATAGCTGTAATATTAGGAATCAAAATAGTAAAGTTATAAATTGTCTAGAAGTTGTGGTTATTGAATAATATACTAACAAAGAGTACGATAATCATACGTTTCTCGAGCTGCAATTTGAGCAGAAAATTGGAATTGCTATAAATCATTAATTAGGCGCTTTCATAAATTTAATGAATAAGTAGTTTCTAGGTACCTATTCGCCTGTTTTTCGATTGTTATTTATCATTCTTTCGTAAGTGTCGTTCTTTTTATTTCGGTCGGAATAAATCTTTAGATTTAATTCTCCAGAGTGCAGGCAGAGATTTGTATAAACTAATTAATTCAGACGTGAATTCGCGATTGTACGTACGCTAATCTGCCATTTTTGAGTGACGATGACGAACAACCTCATGAAACGACGAGCGAGCCTCGACTCAAAATACACTCGACTGTGGCTTGAACACTGAACGCCCAACCACACGCACAGACAAGTACGCGCAGGCCGGGCTTGCGCAGGCAAAATTTCAAGCAAGTCGAAAAGTGCGCAGGCCGCGCTGTGGGGTTGGCGCGTGATACAGTTTTACCAACTACACGCACCGTGTTCCGTGTACAAACCGGCCTGCGCAGGCAAAACTGTGGTGAAGCTCGCGCGTGTGGTAGGCCCATTAGATGTCATCAAACGTCAATTTGAGATAATACCGAGATACTTTTTATATTACACTGTGCCTTTGTTACACTATCTGCAACTTGACCCTGCACTTCTGTTTTGTGCTCTTTTTAAGACACAAGTTTACTCCGTACATCAACAGATGGCGTTTTGTCAATGTGATCCGCATTGGCTGCTTGTATCAATATACAGTAAAACCCGTTTAAGACGATTTCACAGGGACTCGACCAAAAACGCGTCTTAAGCGGGAAAGCGTATTATGCGGGATTGCGGGATAGGGACATTTACACAAAAATACAATATTTAAGAATTATATATTATTATTTACGTTATAAAAAACTCAGTATATTATTTATATGTTTGTATTTAAATTAAACACTTATTTTAGTTTGAGAAGAAGATATTGGGCATTAACAATTACAAGATATTCAACATAATTTAACTTTTACAATGCGTCTTCGCTTTGATTCAAAGAAGTTACAGTGTCTTAAATCATTAACGGCTGATAATGATTAGGCATGTGACAAAATCGGAATTGACTCATCCTCTTCTTGTTCTTTATCACTTAGGGCCTCTTCTTGTGAGTTATTCACATTCTCAATAAGATCTTCAATTAAAATTTGGTATGGTGCCACAATGTCATCAATGGAAGAATATTCAGGAAAACTCTGGGGGTCGCTTAGCTTGCATCGCTCAACACCTCGACAATCGTCACGTCAATCGCTGGCCTCTGCCGCAAGAGGTAATATGGGTGGTACGTCTTGGCGATTTATGCGTATTAAACGGTATGACGAATCGTATTAAGCGTTAAGAAATGTATGAAAACATTTCTCAAGTTGCAGGGACTGACGCAAAATGGCGTATTATGCTAGAAATCGTATTAAGCGTGATCGTATTAAACGGGTTCTACTGTATTAATAAGTATCCTTAGTGTTTACTTCGATAGATGGCGCTATATAATTTTGACACTCACAATCCTATTGTTGCGTCCTGTTAATATGGATGCCGTTACAAATTAATACATTATTGAATTTTCCGCTGGACCAATATTCGCTCCGTTTCCGTCAGCCTAGGCACGTCTTAGAGTACCCCGACGACGAAATCACCCGCGCTAACGCGCCTACTTCCTACTACACCTCCCACACAGGCCACAAATACCAACACTACACAGCTAGCATACTTGCACATTAGCTTAGCACTAGGCAGACACTGCACCCGTAGGATAAGAGCGCTATACAAGGTACAGGTACGTACCTGGGCGTTTTTTCCCGCCCCCCACTACAACGGCTAACTAGAGCCGAGGTCAGAGTCGCAGACACGCCCTCTAGCTGAGCCGACCCCCTCAGGTTCGAGTAGTCTAGAAACCCCGAACAGAGAGGAGACTCCCCCCGTGGGGAGATGCCATCCGCCCGGAATACCTCTAGAGGTTCTCGCCAATTCTCGGCTTGAGGTCCACTTAGGATCTCGCCGTCCCCAAACCACTAAAAAGGTCATCTGTGACCAACAGCACACACACACAAAAAAAATAGACCAATAATATAGTTTTATTTCGTTTAGCTACCAACTCTCCTATCAATCTTTAAAATCTTTTTTGGTAAATTCACCAGGCTCCAAGAATTCTAGCTCAGCTCGGAAAACTTGACGACCTGACCCCAAGATTGCTCGTGAGGAAACTGAGAGCGATGGAAATTGCACCAGTGCATCTTGGAGTAGCCCTTTTGATTCAGGTAAATATAATATCAAAACTAATTTATTTTATTTCACCAATTTATTAATAATTCCTTCATATGTAGAAATGAATTGCCAGAAAAAAAAATCTCGTCCCAGTGGGTAATACGCTCGAACCGAAAGTCGCGCTTTCTATCCATTCAAAAAGTGTTTTATCAAATTAATAATGATAATAATTTATTTATTGGAACTACTTTTCCTTTAGGTACATGGTAATCTGGAATCCTGCCCTCTAGAAAAGGTTACCCTGAGGACCAGAGGATAGTTCTTTCCCCACTATTATTAATTAATGAATGGTTATCCAAGAGTATTTAGAATATAATTAATAAAAAAGCACTTATTAAAAAAGCTTATTACAATGTGTCTGATTATATTACAGACAAAAATGCTTGGGTTTGAACTGTTCCAATCATTCCAACAGGTTTTCTATATTAAATAAATCATGATTGTATTGACGTTGTAACAACATAATGATTTGTAAATGTTGTTACATTATACTTTTAATGTTGTGGAGTTTTTTTTCGCTCGTTTTTCTCCGCAACTAAAAAATATGTCCAATAACGAGTGGTAGGGAAAAAAATGTTTGGACGATTTAAAAGTGTTGTACTATACATCCAATTTGAATAAAGATATATATTGATTTCCGATTTCTGAATAGGAATATTCAAATGGTTCCTATACGTACAATATAAATGTGTATATACCTAAAAAGGTAGGATCAAATGGCACTGTACATTAGCATTAACCTGTATTTCCATGTTACCTTGTTCGGTACACAATAAAGATTTATTATTATGGGGTGCATGAAAAGAAAAAAAAAAATGTTTTTATTAGGTAATACAACAAAACTTTATAAGAAACGGCAGCTTGTTTGTTCACGAGATACCAAGATATGCGTATTTAAATATCATTGAGTATAATATATTATTCAGATTCTATTTCAAATTTTCAGTACCACCTACGCAACACTGTGAACTTTGCCATCAGAACGCGGGCAGTTGAAATCCTGTCCACGAGACCTCAAGAAGTCGGACCACAGGTATGAGGCTTACGAACAGAAAAAAATCTTCAATTTATTCGTAATTTATAATCAAACTTTATTGCTTATACTTATCTAAACTTTTCTAAATAATTCAAATGGCCACAAAAGTGACATGGATAATGTCAAACCCACAAAACACTACTCTAAAGGAGTGTAGTTTTATGGAATTTTACCCCCTATTTAGGATTATATATAGCCTGCAAGCGCCATGATCACGGAGTAACTGAGTTACTCCGTGATCATGGCGCTTGCAACAGTGCCGAAATATCGGAAACTCGCTAAAAACAAGGTACATGGTAACAATCCCGTAAATAACTTATATTACTATAATGTTAGTGACAATAAAAGTTTAAAACAATATATTATATATAGGCTTCTGTATCGCGGGGGTACGAGAACGTTACGTCCAAATCTCGGCTTTGGTCTAATCTCACCAATGTAATTATTATTTGTATAATTAAAATCGCAGGTGGTAGACATGCTAAAAGCCTTGGCAGCGCGGCTGCTGCCAGTCGCCGAGCTTCTGGACGTACACCTAGCGCACTCTAGCCCCGCCTTCAAGGACACCTGCCCCTCCACGTGGCTCGGCATCGTCAACAATAAATGATTCCAAACAACTGTAGTCTTCTTTTGTTTTGAAATAATCTTCTATATCCCTGACAATCGCAGCTGTTAGATATGCTGAAGTCACTGCCGGCGCAGCTGCTTCCAGGCGCCGAGCTTCTGGACGTACACCAGCTGTACCTTGAAAGACACCTGCCCCTTTACGCGGCGCGGCATCGTCAACAATAAATGAATCCAAACAACTGTAGCCTTCTTTTGTTTTACAAGTAGCTTCTATATCCCTTAGTGTCGCCGCACACGGGCTACACGCCACAGCCACAAACTCCTCCACAAGAAGCTAGAAGCGGCTACTAAAGTGGCTGAAGCGCGCGACAGCGGCCGACTAAGGCAAGGTAGAGAGGGGTGGGGAATCGCGCGAGTAAGTGGCCGGTGCGGGCATAAGAATCGAGCAATGACGATTTGTGTGTGGCGGCCACCGGCGTACCGTGTGTGGCGAGTCCATATAAAATGTATGAAAACTACAAGAAATATGCAGGTGGCGGCGTTTTGAGGTTGTGGTCGGTGGCCCGGGTGCGGCGACAGTTACAATCACCGGTGGTAGACATGCTGAAGTTGCTCTGCTGGACTTACAAGTAACTTCTATATCCCTTACAATCACAGGTGGTAGACATGCTTCCTTCTGCCAGAACGTTATCTCACAGAAGGAGGCAGCCGAGAGGGAGCGGGAGGATGATCCCCTGACCGCTCCCTCCCGCCCAAGAAGAGCGGGCAGGAGAGTTGCATGATCCAGCCCGCGGGGATGCCGAGCTGACCGATACGGCGCATTGTGCCATGCCGGCCACCGAGGGAACCGTGACGGCAGCCTCCCTCTTGTAGTTTTGTCCTGTAAAGAGGGGGGCGGCGGATGGAGCTACACGGGCACGCCCAAGTAGTCCTCCGCAGTGGACGCGGGCCGGCACGGTGGGCACTAGGCCGCGTACTCAGCCCCAACGCGCGGGCCATCCTGCGCACGCCTGCGGGGTCCCCGCAATACCTCGGGAGACCCCTGCCGTGGAGCCCGGCTAGGCCGGGAGGCTGCTGGGTGCGGAGACGCGGAAGAATCCCTAAACGGGGACCACGCGGTTTCACCTTAAGTAGCTTAGAGGGTATTCACAGAGTTTTTTAGCGGATATTATGCCCTAAAGCGCCCGTAAGAGTTACGGGATCCTGAGTGGACAGCCACTGCGGAGGCTCGTAAAGCTTGAGGTAGCCAGGTGTGAGGTTCGTTCGGCGGTGTGCCTCTTAAAGGCGCCGTCGTCTGTAAATAGAGATTTGTTTGCGTCACAAAAAAGTGGTAGACATGCTGAAGTCGCTCTGCTGTACGTACAACTTGCGCACTCCAGCCCCGAGTTCAAGAGCACCTGCCCCACCACGTGACTCGGCATCGTCAACAATAAATGAATCCGAAGAACAGTGGTCTTCTTTTGTGTTACAAGTAGCTTCTAGATCCCTTTCAATAGCAGGTGGTAGACATGTCGAAGGTGCAGGTGACGCAGCTGCTGGATGTGCACCTAACACGCTCCAGCCCCTCCTTCAGGGACACCCGCCCCTCCACGTGGCTCTTGTATTATGCTTCCAAATACAGGGAAAATACTTCTGACATCAAATTACCCGACCATTTATTTTATTATTGTTATTATCATGTATTTATTTTCAAAGACAATAATGTAACACGAATGACATTCCTCTATGATCGGGCAAGAAATTATTTTGTAGATGCGTCATCGGAGAATTAAGAAATAAATAAATAAATAAATATTTCCAACACTCACACCAATTAGCCTAGCCCCAAGCTAAGCACTATAAGGCTTGTGTTATGGGATACTAGGGTAACGGATAGAATACATATACCGTACATATATAAGTATATTTATATAGAAATACATATTAAACATCCATGACTGGAGTACAAATGCTCGTATTCATCACACAAACATCTGCCCCCACCGGGATTCGAACCCGGGACCTCTCGAGTCGGCGATACCATGAAACCCGGCGTACAAACCACTCGGCCAAGGAGATCGACAAATAAGCCCTTAGACAGTTAAAAAGTTAAAAACAAAAAACTACCAACAAATAGCAGTTCACCACAACGAAACAACGAATGATAGCTGTTGAAATTCCAAATACATAACAAGCGGCGCGCCATTCACGCCGGCAGCAATTCCACGGCAGTAGTGTCGGCTCGGCCCAGTTTTATTGTACAAGGTGGATTTATCGTCTATAAAGTGCACACGCATACATCTCGTATCGAACGTGGGCCATAAAGCCAACGGACGGATCCAATCCGATCCGATCCCGCGACGGCATCACCACGTGAATGAAACTACAGAAAAAAAGGAATTCGAATTATTTTGACTTTAATCTGCAGTGCTTGCATTACTGTCGTGTTGAAAGGTTTGTATTTCCTTTATCTTCGTGGATAATATTGCAAAGATCGGTTGCTTTAGATTCTGTTCATTTTGCACTTAGCACTATTTATCTAATTATAAATCTACTAGCAAACCTGTGAACCAAATGTTCACCAAAAAAATAAAATAAAAAGTATTTAATCAATTGAGAACTTCGGAGATTTTGTGTGGTTTCGTTTGAAATAGAAATCACGTGATTTCTAGAAAACCGGAAGTGCTACGTTACTCACATCCGGTTTGTAGTCTTATCAGACTATTCTTAACTTATAACTTAAACATTCTCTATATCTATCTCTTACGGTTTGGCCGCTGAAACAGCACCACGGACGGACGGACGGACGGACGGACTTGTCTAATAGATAAGAGATTCGTATTCTTTATTAAAGGAGATTGCTCAAATTGGCCTAAATGCACAAAAAACATTGACATACACGGTAATTCTTGGCGTAATTTATAATTTAATTTACAGTCATTAGATTTCAACGGATACCTTTGTATAATATATTTAGTTTAAAAAGGACTTTTAATTTTACCGGTTTGGAAAACATACGAATCATTTTTAATGGCTATGGGTGTAGTAACATTCAGCCAAAGACTGATCGAAGTTGTTTATTTAACATAAAAACAAATCTATTTTGTAAAGATCGATAAAATAAATCATTTTTTTTATTACACTGTAGTATTAATATCCACAACTATATTATCATTTTCACTATATGCAAATGTGCTCAGACAATTATTAAAGATGGTAGGCGACATCATAAAGTCTATTGCCATACATTTTTTGCCAAACACCTCCATAAACACATTATAATCTGTATATATGTTAGACTTTAAGGTATCTATCTATGGGCCTACGTTCCCTGACTATAAATCAATAAATAAATAAAATTATAAGGTGTGATACACTAAAAATCTAAAATATGGTTATCTTAAAAACATAACTAAAATAATGAAGCTACTGAATATATGGATATAGAACCTAAATCTCTTAGCTTTCTTTGGTTAACGAGTGTTTCAAAATTCTCTCTAATCTGTGGCTCATTCACAATCATCACACATTTTCTGTCACAGAGTACCTTATTATAACCGGAAATGACACCTGATTTTAAAAGTTACTCTTATGCATTAACTTTAAAAACAGACAACTATCTGTTAATCTACATGCTCTATATACCTGAATCTAATCCACAATTTCGGTACTCTGATTGATTTCCCTAGTTTACTATATAACTTATTTGTTTTTTAATATTTTAATATGTTCAGTGTATATGGTTTATAGAAGTTCTCAGGGGTGTCCGTCAATAATATTCGCTTCTACAGTAATTTGTATATAACTTCGAATCTAGGAAACAATTTTTCATGATTATTGGTCTTTAGGCCAAACATGTATGGAAGCTGAGCAATCTCCTTTATTATATTGTTATTTGTATACCGAAAAACCGTGCACCATACAGGCCCTGTCAGAATACCAACGTTGTCGTGATACGTTTAGTTACATGTCACGGCAGCATTATGCTGAGGCAGGGTCTTGATTGACCAATATGATGGCTGTTAGGTTTATAAATGTGTGTAATGCTTACTTTTTATATATGTTTTTTATTTTCGTCATCATCATCATCATCATCAGCCTATTAATGTCCCCACTGCTGCGGCACAGGCCTTCCCTATGGATGGAATAGGGAGATAGGGTCATGACCCACCACGCGGGCCCAATGCGGATTGGCGGGTGCTAACGACTGCAGATGCAGCCGGGACCAACGGCTTAACGTGCCTTCCGAAGCACGGAGGAACTCGAGATAGAAGATTTTTGGTCACCCATCCAATGACCGACCACTGCGAAAGTTGCTTAAATTCAACGATCGCAGCCGAACGCGCTAACCACTTGCGCCATCCAGGTCCTCAATTTTTTATTTTAGCAGTTTATAATTTATATGTTTGTGTTTTATTGGTCAATAAAATGGTTCTCTCTCACTCTCTCTCTGCTAACTTTTGGAGGTAATGAAATAGGGTCGGCAAAGTAGCTGTTGCAGTTTGATCGAGTTCTAAACAAGGACCCCACATTGTCACTCCCACTCCAATCGTTCCCTCATCACTGATGATCGTGATCACTAAAGGACACCCGGCATTTTGTGCCAAAGTTACACTTTTTTAATTTATTTATCTGTGTTTCATAATTGGGTAACGTAGTCTGGCAATATTTGTCATCAGCAGCTAGCTGTCAATGTCAAATACGTAGGTTTGTCATCAAAAGGGTTTCTATATCAAAAAATATTAATCATTAAATAACTTCTTACCACGATTCACTAAAAATAAGGCAAAAGTAGTTTTATGTAGCAAACTAGTGGCCCGCCCTCGCTTCGCTTCGGTGTAGAGCTGTAGTGTAAACTATAGTTTTTGTTCTTAGGCTTGTGCTATAAAGAATGACTTTATTTATATAATTACACGTGTTATTGTGAGTCAACCATAAAAGATAGACATATGCTGTTGCGGGATATTTTTTAGACAATTTTATGTAGAATATTTCCGTCATACATGATTTCTATGTAACTTTAACCATTAAGGCTGCACACGCGACGGAAGCTTAAAAAATGGAGTAAC